GGATGGGGCCACGCCGGTGGGGAAGCTAGCCAGCCAAGCCTGGGGACGTTGGGAGGGCAGCTAGGTAGGCTGGGCGAGGCCAGGGGAGACCTGGGGACAGTGGGGGAAGGGCTAGCATGACTTGCAGGCTTTCCTGTGAGCAGGCAGAGTAGCGAAGAGGCTCATGTCACAATGGCATGTCATCAGGCAGCAATGGCGGGCAGAAGCAGGCTGCAGGCATGTCATGCATGCACAGTAAAAAAAAAAACCATTTTTTTAAACCGGATTTTTTAAAATTTTGGAGCGGCAGATGGGGGTGGGGGCCGGGGCCAGCGGAGGGGTGAGCTGGGGAGAATGGGGAAGGGATTTTCACACATGCGCAGTAAAAAAAAACCATTTTTTTCAAAAAACAGTTTTTTTTTTTACTTTGGAGCAGCGGATGGGGTGGGGGCCGGGGCCAGCGAAGGGAGGGGTGGGCAGGGGAGAATGAGGAAGGGATTTTCATGCATGCGCAGTAAAAAAAAGATCAGTTTTTGGCCTGTAGGAGTGGCAGAGAGGGGTGGGCCAAGCAGGGGGTGGTTTTACCGGTTCTTAGAACTGCCGGTGACATTAACAACTGGTTCTATAGAACCAGTGTGAACTGGTAGAAACCCACCCCTGGTAATAACCTTTTCACATTTTAGTCCAATTTGTAACAAGGCCTGCTGACTATAGATGCTCCTTGCCCCACAGGATTCAATCAAGGAAAGGATCCAAAACACACAGAGAATCATACACACCGTACACCGAAAGAAGGAGCGGCCAGCCACAGCATCCATGTGTGCAGCCATCTTCACTGATGATGTAAAACTATTTACCAGCACTGACAATACTACTGCCCTATAAAGCAACCTTGACTATGTGTCAGAATGGTTGAACAATTGGCATCTTCACATCTCAACCAACACATTCTCTGTGTTACCCACTGGGAACAAAAATTAGAACACTAAATGCAAACTGGGCGGATACGACCTCGTAGGTGACCCTCACTCTGTCAAGGATTTAGGAGTGCTCATTTCAAAAGATCTAAGCCCCAGACCTCACTGTAACAGCATTGCCAAAAAGGCATTAAGAATTGTAAATCTAATTTTGCAAAGCTTCTTCTCCAGCAACATTGAACTGCAAACCATGGCATACAAAACCTTCGCCAGACCAATTCTTGAATACAGCTCATCTGCCTGGAATCCACACAGTATAATGGACATTAATACAATTGAACAAGTCCAGAGGTATTTCATGAGAAGAGTACCCCACTCCTCCGCTCGTAATAGATTAACTTATGCCACCTGGACTTAGACAACTTAGAACTATGCCAGCTACGGTCTGACCTAAGCTTAGTACACAAAATTGTCTACTATAACGTTCTACCTGTCAATGACAACTTCAGCATCAACCACAATAACACATGGGCAAGCAATAGAAACAAACTCAAAGTAAACTACTCCAAACTTGATTGCAGAAAATATGACTTCAGCAACAGAGTGGTCAATGCTTGGAACTCACTCCCTAACTCTGTTGTTACATCCACAAACCCCCAAAACTTTAACCTTAAACTGTCTACCCTGGACATTTGTAACAGGTCTGTAAGGAGGTGTGCCTAAGTGCACCAGCGTGGCTACCGTCCCTGTCCTACTTTTCCAATTTATTCGTACTCATTATGTATATACTTATAACTGTTTATACTTATATGTTTATATGTTATGTTCATACTAATACTTGTTTTCTCATACATGTTTGACAAATTAAACTAACTAACTAACTAAAATAAATAAATTGTAGCTCAGGGTTGAAGTGAGGGGTTCTTGGTGATCTCTGGTATTGTGTATGGTCCTGCCTCGCCAGCCTTCTCAGGAAAGCAGAATTGTAGAAACAAAAAGCATTTCAAAAGGAACTTTTATTGGAAGACAGTGATAGCAGAGAGAGTGTAGGCAGGATCTGAATTTCCCATGCCAAAGCATTAGGTTAAACCATTTACTCTGATGCTTCTCCCAATGTCCAGTTCAACTTCAAGCCGATCCCAAGATGTGGGAAGATGTGAGAACATCAGACTGAGGAGGTGATAACAATTGCTAGGTCCCATGATCTCACTTCTCCGGTGGTGAGACAAAACAGATGGCCCGAGGCACATTCTTCCCTGCTCCCAATTTCCCCAAAAGATGCAACAAAGCCACGGAAGGAAGGAAGGAAAACTCCATGTAAAAGAATCCCTGCTCCCACTAGAATGCCAGCATCCCGATTGAGATCTATGGCACCTGACACATTGCTTATTTTCTGGCAAAACTTTCATGACCAAACCAGGTGACCACATCAGTGCTAGAAGGAGGGGGTCCATTCTCATTTTATATTCTAGGGCAGAGTTCCCCAATGTTTCCGGATTTAGGGGCCGGTGGGGGGAAGAAGAGGGGATGGTTGGCACAAGTGGCTGGCAAGCATGTCGGCATGCCCGTATGCACACACCTCCATTGTAGAGAGTGCTAATTCCTGCATGAGGCAATCTTTGCTATGATTGGTTGCTGTGGGTTTAAAGGGGGAGTTTCCCCTTTTCCCGCCTTTTTCTTTTGTGTGCGCTGTACGTTGTTTGTGATTTACCTCATGATGTTCTTGTTTGCCTGACAATAGAAATAGAAATAGAACTAACAGGAATAGGAATAGGAATAGGAATAGGAATAGGAATAGGAATAGGAATAG